GCTACTGGCAAGTGATGGTCACAGTGACAAATGAACTAGCTACATTGGGAGCTCACTCTATCCAACTCTGGAGCAAATGGTTGGACTCCCTGTAACTGTCACCCATGCGAACCACGCAAACCTGGGCCTGACCCCTCATCCTATTGCTTCTGATTCTGTTCCTCTCCCTCTGCCCTCTTTTGACTCCTTGATCAAGTCCGAGTCCAGTGTGGCAGGCGGACAGTTCCATCCAAATCAACATCTATTTAGAGTAACAGTTACTAGAGTTTGAAGCCAAGTCCTCAGTCGTACCCAAGTTATGGACATCTGGGGCCTCTCCCCATGGCCTCTCCTCCTCCTTGACCTCACTCATACAGGTGACAACTGCTGGGAGTCAGGTGGGGTGATCTTTGGCTTATGAGACACACAGAAATCCCTTTCCCTCTTTTACCAGGCATCCTGTAAGCTGTGACCGCAGACTCTGCATTGTCTGTCATTCTGTCCTGGGTCTGAGGCTTAGTGCCCACTCTGTGCTGACTCAGAGGTCTTCAGTGCCTGGTCATCTGGTCAGAGGGTCACCCATGCATCTCCCCAGAGCACCAGTAATGTGGCTGCTGTGATGGGAACTGACACCAGCAGCTCCCAGGAGCATTCTTGACCTGGGGGGATGAATAGTCCTCAACCCTCAGGCTCTAGACCAGTCCTCAAGTTCCAGCCTGGCAGCTCAACTCCTGCTCCAAATTCTGGGAGAATAGACAGACCCCCATTCCCCAGCCCAGCCCAGTCCTGGGTGTCACTGTTCTGCCTGTGTCTGTGAGTCCACTGTCACTTCTGTCCCCAGCCCCTGAGTGGGGGAAGGTCTCTGTTATCTGAGGATGTAAGAAAGTGCCTCAGAGGTTTTCAGCTAGGTCAACCTAACACAGCAACATCCTCCTGCTTTTGGCCAAAACCCAGCTTGGGAAAAATGGTAAGGAGAGAAGAAAGTGTGCTTAAATTCTGAGAGGTCCAGAGGTGAAAATGATTTTGAGCCCTGGGGCTTGGGATCCAGGCTCAGACCAGCTCCTGAGAACAGCCTGGCCAGGCCCAGTCCCCTCTGTACATCTTCCCAGGTACATGCCTTCTGTTTTCACTTCTGCCTGCCAGGGACTTCTAGTTTCAGCACAAAAATGTTGAAACATAAATACAATGAAATCTTAAAAGAAGCCAGATAAAATTCTAAACTAATTATATTTTATGTAATAACTCGATATAATTCAATACTGGTTTGTGATTTTCAAAATATCAGAAAATAAAAATGTGTGTGTGTATCTGGAGGCACTCTGCTACATTTCTGGGTCATAACGAAGTCACAGGCTCTGGAAGCCTCACCTGGTGCAGAAGCAGGCAGGAATCAGCAAGCCTGAGGTCTCAGAGAAGGGCAGGTCCCTAGTCTTCAACCCTAGGTCAGGGAGCACTCCCTGTGGGCCTGAACAGGGAGAAGCTCCTGGAACATGATGGGTTCAGGATGTGCGCTGAGGGACAGGGAAAGTTCTGGAACTGGCGCAAAGAAGATTTACAAGTGCTTTTCTATGGTTTTATTTTGGGACCAGGAAAAGACGGCTCATATCAGATGCCTAAGCTACGTCCTGAGGTTTTGTTCTTAAATTGCCACAAAGGGTCATATTACAAATAACTTCACCAATTATTGTAGGCATTTTTGTGACAAATGTCTTTTCCATATTAAACCATTGGACACTGAGGCTCAGGGAGTTGGAATCACTCACTCAGCCCCAGTCCTCCAGGCTAAATGAGTCTTGTATTTCCTATGCTCGAGCTGAGCTTCTCAGCACAGGACAGGGGCTGCCCCCAGGGCGTGCACTCACCAGCTCCACCTGGATGACCACCGAGTCCAGGGAGCGACCCCTCTCCTTTCATCACCTGGAATCTCATTCTCATCTTTACACAGGTCTTCCCCAGTGTCTCACTGACAGTAACCCTGTGTGTTACAGACAATAGTTCAGGACCTTTTGATCCCAGGGTCCTTCCAGGACAATCTCATCCTGATGCAGTAGTAAGGAAGGACTGGGGAGGCCACGCTCAGGGTGCTCAGGAAACCTCACACACAGGACCCTGGAAGAGGCCCTGGGGTGCCCAAGACAAAGCCAAAATGGACAGAGAATTCCTCTAAAGGGAGAATAGTGAGATGTGGTCTTGTTACACTTGGGACACACGGGCACTACTGCCCTCAAAAAAGCTCAAATTCAACATGGAGCCCCCATTTCACTTCTGTCTCAGGGTCTTAAGACAGTAGACCTAGGGCTGAGGCTCTTCCAAGAAAACAGGACTGGTCTAGACTCATAAGGGGAAGGACTCCCAGGGATGGAGGGGACATGGGTGTCCTTGTGGGCCACACTTTGCAGATGTCCTCAAAGAGGCTCAGCCAGCCCTTACCTCAGCACCCTTACTAATCTTAGTGCCAGTCCTTGGGGACAATTCCGAGGGGCAGAAGCCCCTGTTGCATACCCAGATGTGCCCGCTCACTGATCTGTCATATGGCGAGGTTCTGACCACAGGAGCATGCCACGCAGATGTACTTGAGCCAACTGCTGGCCCCTGCCTGATTTGCCTCTGCACAGAACTTCTCACTGCATATGTCTTCTGAGACTGCTGGGAAGAAAGAAAAGCAGGAGTCAGAGGCGCCCTGTCTGCTAGAGTCTGCACACTGCGTCTGTCCACCCAGAAACCTGGCTGTTTGGGCTCCAGTGGAAAGGTTAGTTGGCATCCTGATCTCAGCCCATCCTCTGGGCATCAGCAGGACTCCTGGCCCACCCTACTCACCCATGCCCAGGAGCTTCCAGGAGCCCAATGAAAAGGCAGGGAATTGGCCTTTTCTTTTCTCATCAAGTAGATCATTGTCCTGGCCCAGCGATCAAATGAGCCTTCAGGGTTGCAATCCCCATGTCCCACAGCAAAGCTCTCTCACATATGAGAAGGCAGGGGCCACTGTGTCTGGCAGTAGAGCCCTCTGCTATGGAGCTGGAGCACTGGGTCAGAGAAAAGCATGTCTGAAGGTAAAGGTTTTGCTGGGGGTGTGTGCGCGCTTGTGTGGGTGTGCGTTTGCGTGTGCGCGCGTGCATGCTCATGGCAACCGCACATCACCCTGAGAGTAAGAAAAACATTTCTTTTTTTAAAAACTGAAGAGTTTGACACCCAGCAGTGTGCCAAAGGGCACACAGGACACCTCTGACTCCTGTTTTTCTTTCTTCCCAGTAGTTACACTCACGCTGACTTGGCTTTACATTGTTGTAGCTCTTGCCTCTGAATGGGCAGAGTGGCAGCTTCTAGGGCTTGTTTTTCATATTTGCCATCACCTCACTTCTCTGAGAGGATCATTTATGAGAATATACTGTCCACTGTGGAGAAAGGGCGTCCCCTAGACCAGCCTGACCATGAGTTTTGGCTGCAGGTGGAGGCCAGCCCCCAGCCTCCCTCACTCTGCCCAGTGCCTACTCTGGGTTCTGAATCCAAACCAGCAGTGTTTGGATTGGTGGGTGAGTTTTCTGGGCAGCACAACCTGGCTCAGACTGGGCAGAAGGGAGGGCAGGGGGCAGGGGCTGTCACACCACACTCAGGTCTTGAAAGTAGAAAGGCTGTCTTGGCAGACAGATGTGTCCATTTGGGCAGGTGTGTCCTGGTGGACAGGTCTGTCTGCGTGGGCAGGTGTGTCCTGGTGGGCAGGCATCTCTTGGTGGGCGGGTGTGTCCTGCTGACAGGTATGTCCTTGGACAGGTTTGTCCTTGGGCATGTGTGTACTGGTGGGCAGGTGTGTGGGGGGTTGGTGTGTCCTGATGAACAGGTGTGTCCTGAGTAGACAGGTGAGTCCATGGACAAGTGTATCCTTGGGCAAGTGTGTCTTGGTGGGCATGTGTGTCCTGGCAAGCAAATTTGTCAGGGTGGGTAGGTGTGTTTTTGGGTAGTTGTGTCTGAGTGAGCAGGTGTTATCTTGGGTAGATGTGTCCTTGGGCAGGTGTGTCCTGGTGGATAGGTGTGTCCTGGTGGATAGGTGTGTCCTGGTGGATAGGTGTGTCCTGGTGGATAGGTGTGTTCTGGTGGATAGGTGTGTCCTGGTAGATAGGTGTGTCCTGGTGAGCAGGTGTGTCCTGGTGGATGGGTGTGTTCTGGTGGATAGGTGTGTTCGGGGGAGGAGGTGTGTTCTGGTGGATAGGTGTGTCCTTGTGGATAGGTGTGTTCGTGGGAGCAGGTGTGTCCTGGCGGATGGGTGTGTCCTGGTGGATAGGTGTGTCCTGGTGTGCAGGTGTGTCCTGGTGGATGGGTGTGTCCTGGTGGATGGGTGTGTCCTGGTGGATAGGTGTGTTCTGGTGGATAGGTGTGTCCTGGTGGATAGGTGTGTCCTGGTGAGCAGGTGTGTCCTGGTGGATGGCTGTGTCCTGGTGGATAGGTGTGTCCTGGTGGATAGGTGTGTCCTGGTGGATAGGTGTGTTCTGGTGGATGGCTGTGTCCTGGTGGATAGGTGTGTCCTGGTGGATAGGTGTGTTCTAGTGAGCAGGTGTGTCCTGGTGGATAGGTGTGTCCTGGTGGATAGGTGTGTTCTGGTGGATAGGTGTGTCCTGGTGGATAGGTGTGTTCTGGTGGATAGGTGTGTCCTGGTGTGCAGGTGTGTCCTGGCGGATGGGTGTGTCCTGGTGGATAGGTGTGTTCGGGGGAGCAGGTGTGTTCTGGTGGGCAGGTGTGTCCTTGAGGAGCTGTAGTCAGGTGGGCAGGTGTGTCCTTGGGCAGGTGTGTCGGGGTGGGCAAAGGTGATGGAGCAGGGAGTCAGAAGGACTCAGTGTTGTCAGGACAGGGACGATGACCTGTCCAAACGAAAACAGCGGAGGTTGACTCTGGGTACCATGGGTTTCTTATTCTCTGGAGTTTTGACTGCTCTATTGTGGACACTAAGACCTGGCAGAGGGGAAGGAGCCTTCCACCTGAGGTTGGGAACTGCCCACTTCTGGCTAGAGAGTCAGATGCTTTGTAAACAGTTCAGGTGTTCCCTGGACATCCACAGACGTTTCCTAAAAGACCAAGTGCCCAGCTGGCCTTAGAGTCAGGGATTTCAGGAGGTGGCTGCTGAGCGCAGGGATGCACAGAAGCTGCTGTGGAGTTCACTGTGCGTCTGTGCCCCATCACCCCCAAAACCACGCCCCCTCCTGAAGCCCATGGGGAGCTGCTGTGGCAGCCCCATCCTACAAGTGACAAGTCTGAGCAGATACGGCCCAGCTCTGCCAGACACCTCAAAGGACTAATCTGTAAACAGTCTGTGAACCCAGGAGCCTCAATTCTGAGATTCCTTTGCTTTTTGGGGACTTTGTTATTCATGCCAAGAGGAAGATGAAATGGGCCTAATTGTGAAAGAGAGGAGATAGACCAGAGAGAGCCAGGTATAGCCTGGGCAAGACAGGGATGGAGAAAGGCATGGATGGGGATACAGGGAGAGATGGCTGAAAGAGCCTGCCAGGGCACAGGAGTGTTCTCCTGCCCAGCCTCTGTCCTCAGTTGCCAACATCCGGAACCTCAGGAGGCCGAGGCCAAGGGCGTCCACCCCCTCGTGCACAAGCCTCCATGATCCCAGTGCCTGACCCTCAATACTCAGCGCGTACTTTCCTGGGTTCTTAGCCATCTCAGGGCTAATGCAAGAGTTCTTTTGGTGCAGGGTGTGAGGAGAAGGTAAATGATGCTGTGAGCTATCGCAGTCGTTGCATGGGCTTCTCCTGGCATGTGGCTGACAAGGGTGTTAACTTCACCTTGACTTCCAGGGCTTGGGACCTGTCTCCCCTGGAATAACAATCTGCATTACTGGCTGGCTCTCCAACCACTATTTTAAGTGCTTCAAAGCTCTTCGCCATCCAGGTATGCAGGTATGTGGGTGTGAGTGTGTGCATGTGCGTGCGTGTGCACCTGCACGTGTGTGCACCTGCACGTGTACGTATGTATATGTGTGTTCATGTATGCTTGCTTGTCCTAGGGGAAAGGGGGTGAGCCGCACGGGAAGCAAAATCCAACAGGAAGAGGAAATTGAAACAGAGGCCGGTTCCCTCTCAAAACTCATAATGTGGATTCTGTGTCATGTCAGGACTGCTGGAAGAGAACCAAGGCCCCTTCCATCCAGCCCCACATCTGAAACCTCAGTGTCTCTGATCCAGCCAGGCACAGCAACAGGCCTTGGAACCCACACTGTGCACTCAGACAGCCAACCTCCAGAGTATGCACCATCGTGCTCTGTGGAGCACACACTACCGTGCTCCCAAACAACCAGTGTATTGTTGAACGCATCACATCCTTGTGAATTGCTTTTGGGTGGACCGATCCTGCATTCCCTTAAGGCCCCCCTCACCTTGCAGAATAAGCCTCTCTTTTGCACACGACGGCCCTGAAAGTATTTGCATGTAGCCTGAGTCCTAGCCCTCCACGTGCCGGGGTAAACACCTGTAGCTCTCTCAAGTGTGTCTGAAGAAGGACATGGCTGGTTTCTCATCCTCATAGGACAGCGTTCTGGAGCCCTGGTGTGTCCCTGTCCCTCTAGGGGTGCAGAGGCCTGGAGACCAGAGACAGCAAATCCCCCAGGGGTCCTGGTCCCGAGTACCCACCCATGCTTCTCTGCTCTGCAGGTGGGTCACCTCTCCAGCGTGACAGCCTCTCCTCCCTTGTCACTCCTGTTTCCCAGGCCATTTCTCCTTATCTCTGGAAGAGGCTGGTCCCCAAACCCCGACAAATTGGATGGTCATAGGGTGGGAGTTACACCTGGTAGCTCCTAAAGGGAGAAGTTTCACTTCTTCCTGGTGGGTTCCTTGGGGTGACTGAGGTGGTGTTGGTTAACTCCTTCCTTCAACGGAGGGGAGCCTGTGAGGGGAGCCCAGGAAAGCCAAGAGAAGCCCTGGTCTCAGGGTCCAATCAGCAAGGGTGCACTGGGAGGAAGCATGGTGGGAGGGGTGTGCTGGGAGGAGTGAGCTGGGAGGGTACACCGGGAAGGGGCTGGGAAGGGTGTGCTGGAAGGGGACTGTGTGGGGTGCACTGGGAGAGTTGAACTGAGGGGGTGTGTGCTGGGAGGGGTGTACTGGAAGGACTGCGTTAGGAGGGGCACGATGGGAGGGGGCTGGGTGGGGTGTGTTGGGAAGGGTGAGTTGGGAGGGGGCTGGGAGGGGTGTGCTTGAAGGGGTGAGTTGGGAGGCAGTGTGCTGGGAGGGGTTCATTAGGAGGCGTCTGGGAGGTGGTGCACTGGGGAGGGGTGCACTGAGAGCTGGAAGGTGGTGCACTGGGAAGGGTGCGTTGAGAGGGGTGTGCTGGGAGGCGGCTGGGAGAGGGCAGGGCCTGTGTCTATTATCACAGTTAGGCTGCTAGCAGAGAGCTTGGACAGAGCCTCAGAAGCTGCTGCTTTTCTGTCTCAGACCAGAGAAATGCTCCTGTAGTGGCCCTGGGCCCATTCATTGTTCTGGTCTGGCAGGTGGCTGCAGGCCTGGCTGCTTGTGCCTGTGCTGTCTCTGATTCCAGAAAAGACAGATGGCTGCACAGACCGCTGCTTCCTCCTGCCACCTTTCCTCTCCTCTCTCGCCTTCCTCCCCAGGGTCTCTGTGCACTCAGGGACAGGCTGGGTGCGATCAAGGACACTCATTCATTGCCACGGATCTATAAGCTGGGTATTGTGTTGCCTCATTTTGCAGAAGAGGACATGGAAGCCCCTAGATACACAACTGCCCCAGGAGCAGGGCCAGCTACCAGCCCAGGCCTCTGGACTCCAGAGCTGTGCCATCAGCTGCTGCCATGCGTGCTCTCTGGAGCTGACTCAAGTAATGGAGGGAGTGTGCCAGCGCGCTGTTCTGAGAGCCACAGGATTTCCCATGGTCTGGACTCCACAGAGCAGGCCTGAGCAGTCTCAGGTCCCGGTCCCTGCTTCCTTGGGAGTGAGACTTGCCAGCACCCATGATGGCAGTGGCAGGTTGTCCAAAGCGGCAGTTGCCATGGCTCCGGCTGCAGTGGGGCGCGGGCGCAGGCTGTGAGTCCGCCGGTGCGGGGTCCCAGTCACCCACCGGCGAGGAAACTGCACGGTCCGCTGCGGAGGGGACCCGGGACGGAGATGCGCCCAGGACGGTGTCGCGCTTGTGCTCGGAGCGCAGGGGCCGGGCCCCGAACACGAAAGCAGACCTGTGGCCGAGCTTCAGTGGCCCGGGGTGGGGAGCCGGAGTCGTCCGCCTCCCAGACCCGGCCACCTACGCGGCCGCTGCGCCTTCCCTGCCGTGGGAGCCAGGTTCCTGTGCCCAAATGGGAGACTTCAGCGCGGGGCCACCTGAGGCTGCGTCCCCAGGATCCAGTCCGCATTGGAGTGACCGCCGAGCCTGGTGCTCCCCGCAGCAGCCAGGTCCGGGGCCGCAATCCATTCCCGGTGGCGCTCCCTGGCAGAGTCGCCAGCCAAGCCCGGCTGCAGCCGGGAACTTGTGGCGACGTCGCCCCCGCTCCGGACTCCCGCCCGGGCCCAGCAAGGGCTTGGAGCCCTGCCCCAGGCTGCAAGGCGGCAGAGAGGGCAGCGGGGGCAGCTGTGGAAGCAATGGCGGCAGTGGGTTCTCTGTTCCCCACGTCCCCAAGGCAGCCGATTGTACCACCTCTGCCCTGGCACCGCCGGACAAGATCCTCTCCCAGGCCCTGAGCCTCCGCGGCAGCCTCAGCCTCGCTCCCTGCCGTGCCCCTGGAGCTCTGGAGCACCTGGCCAAGGCGCAGTCGGCATTCACAGGACCGGCCCTGGGAGTGGCAGGTTCGTGTTCAAGTGGCCTGGGCCGTCGTGCCACTTGCACCTCGCTCGCCGCCACTGCGGGGAGACACAGAGAAGGTGCACGGCCCGCCGGCAGAGGCTGTGCACTCTGTGCAGAGCCGGGGACAGCGGGGAGCTCCGCCCCTGCCAGTTGGCAGGGCTGGAGTTGCCCAGGCACAGCTGCAGCCACCCCGGTCTCAGTTGTGAGTCCAGACCTCCTGGTGCTCTCTGGGGGAGAGGGCCACCCCCCATCACAGCAGGCTCAGGGATGTCTGCTCCCATTGCCTGGCGTCTCCCTGCTCCTGGGCTGGCTTAGATCTCAGAGAGGAGTTGGGCCCAAGCCCAGGCCCTGTTGCAGCCCTAGGCTCAAGGCAACGTTGACACGCTGGCCTCCTGCTATCTCGGCCCCTCTAGTATTTTAGCCCTGACACCTCCAAGGTCATCTGGGAGCCTCTTGGGGCAGGGCCTGAGGCCTGGTGTGGTCTCCCTGGTATAGGAGGCCAAGACAGATGAGAAGTGGGTAGACAAATGCATGGATGAATGCAGCCTGACCCAGGCTGCATTGTTCACTTCTATTCACACACAGTCAGTGAATGCAGGAGACAGCCAGAGAGAGAAGGAGATGGTCCAGCCCATGGTGTCTCTGCATGGAGGTCACTGTGTCCTCGAGGCTGCATCTCTCTCCAGATTTGGAATTCCACTCCCTGCCTGATTGCTGCTTGAAAGCCTGGTTCTGAGACTGATGCTGAGCCTCAGGAATTCTAGAACCTCCAAAGCATACTGCCCTCCTGCCCACTCTTTCCCCCTCAGCCCCCTGCCAGCTCCCTCAGCTCATAAATCACCCTCATCAGAAATTCGGAGTTGTGAAGCAAAGTGATAGAAAAATTCTCTTAAGTTTAACAAATGTTTTGCACATCATTTGAGGTTTTCTGAACTTCTAATTTGTGAGTGCTCTGTTGGGCTTGTCCTCTACCTTTAGTGGGCATGGCTGGCCACCAGCCCCGTCCAGGGTGTGTTTGCAGACATGAACACCGAGTCATCTGTGTCAGTTCGCCTGATGGATTCTGCGCACGCAGAAAGGAGCAGAGCCCTGGGAGGCTTCCTCCTTGGTTCTGCGTCCTGCTGCTGCCACGCGACTCCCAAGAAGCTCAAGGTGTGGTGCCCACCTCTTACAGCCAGGAGTTAGTGTGAGCCACGGGGAGAGTCACCCTAACCCCCTTTGTTTAAGGAGCCATGAGGTGATTCAGAACAAGGAGCCCCAGCTGTGAAGCCGTGTCCATGGGCACATGCACACACACACACACACACACACACACACACGTTGTAATTTATAG